ACACACACACACACACCACAGTACCAGATTTACCAGGGATATTATAAACATGATTAGTTCTCCTGTTAAAAGGAAAACATTTCCAGAAAGTTATTGACACTTATGAAGAAAATATAATGTATGGATTCTTTTAAGTGTAGAATTAACCAAGATATGCCAGAAAAGTACTAGAAAAAGACAATGTTTGTGGCTGTAACAATCAGCAGTGACAGTGCTCACACAGTCACTTTTCAAACAGAAAATGCATTGGTCACTACTTGTGGTTATAGTGACCAGTGGTGACGCCTTGTCTGTGTAGTGGACAGCAGTGACATCTTGTGGCTGTAATAATGACTGGAGATGACTTGTGTCTGTAACCATCACTGGGGATGACCTATGCTGCAATGATCACTGGGGATGACTTGTGTCTGAAATGGTCACTGGGGATGACTTGTGTCTGTAGTGATCACTGGTGATGACCTATGCTGCAATGATCACTGGGGATGACTTGTGTCTGTAGTGATCACTGGGGATGACCTATGCTGTAGTGATCACTGGGGATGACTTGGGCTATAGTGATCACTGGGGATGATTTGTCTCTCTAATTATTATTGGTGATGACTTGTGTCTATAGTGATCACTGGGATGACTTGTGTCTGTAGTGATCACTGGGATGACTTGGGCTGTAGTGATCACTGGGGATGACATGTCTGTAGTGATCACTGGTGATGACTTGTGTCTGTACTGATCACTGGGGATGACTTGGGCTGTAGTGATCACTGGGGATGACTTGTGGCTCCAGGATGACTGTTGATGACCTGTGCTGTAGTGACTAGCAGTAATGATCTGTGTCTGTAATGACCAGTGGTGATGACATAACGGATACCACTTTCCAAACTTTTGCAGATAGGATAGGCCATGTTATTGTTTTTTTGGTTCCGGTCTTGGGGCCTGAACTCTGGGCCTGGGCGCTGTCCCTCGGCTCTTCAGCTCAAGGCTAGCACTCTACCACATGAGCCACAGCGCCACTTCCAGCTTTTCTCTTTTTGCTTATGTGGTGCTGAGGAATTGAACCCAGGGCCTCAGGCATGCAAGGCAAGCCCTCTACCACTGAGCCACCTTCCCAGCCCCAGGATAGGCCATGTTATAACCGATATTTAAAACATCTCTGATTTTTGTAAATGTCATTGGAAGTGCTCTCATTGTCCTGTTGCAAAGGACAGGTAAGAAATTTTCTTCCAGAAAGAGAGAGGAAGAAGCTTTGGAGTCTTTTCCTCTAGAAGGAAAATGGGAACATTAGCAACATTTTTAACATAAAAAATAAATCTTAGGGCAGAGCCTCAGAGGCCTGTAAGTCATCAATAATATCCAGTCCAAAAAGAAGAGAAAAGAAGAATATAAAAAAACTCTTTAAAGAGTAGTGGCTGACCACAACAGACAAATGAGTTGAAAATTGTGACACACAGACACATGTGTGTGTACATGTGTGTGCAGTAAGTCAGGCTGAGAGAGACAAAGGGAATCTGCTTTCTATTATATGGAAGTTATAAATTATAAACAGATACGAAGACATACATAGGGGTATATGCATATATACATGAACATATCGTCTAAAGTACGGCATTTGCAGGGGAAAATTGCAATGGTGTAAGTCTGAAATACGTGTTGTCAGGAGCAGAGAAAGTCAAAGTGTGGGGTGACAGAATGGAGAGAGGCAAGATGGGCAAATATAGTCATAGTGGTCAGTGTGCATATGTGACAATGGAACCATGTAACTTGGGGGGTGGATGAGGTTGGGAAAGATAGTAGAGAACAATGTAAGAGGTGACATGGACTGAGATGCTTTGCACTCACAACCTGGTGTGTGCATTTAAACCCATGTATACATTAGAGGTAAAAAATTAAAAGAGAAATAGTGACTGAAACCTCCCACATCTGACAGAAAACACGGATGTATGGGTGCGAGAACCTTAGCAAAGTCCACACAGACGAAATGAATGCAGAGACACCTAGATATATGATAGTGCAGAGAAACACTCTGGAAAGCAGCGGAACAGAGCAAGATACCACGGAGAGCCTCATTTCTCACACAGCATGAGATTCACATAAGAAGTGCTAGGGGCGTCTTCAACTCCCATTTCCTAAGCTGAGAGCAGGAAATATTTCTTTGTTCTATTTCTTCCTACTTTAACCTGGTTATGATCAGCTAAGTCCTTATTTAAAACCTGGGAACAGAAGGTGGAGATGATGTATTCAAAATGCTGAGAGCAAAGTCTTGCCAACCAAAAACTCTGTATACATGAAAAGAAGAGAAACATAACCGGGAGCAGGCCATAAGCAGTCCCGTCTTACAAGAAACACTAACGAAGTTCTTCAGGTCAAAACAAAAGGGCCCTGGACAACAATTCAAACTCCCTGATATACAGAATGAAATTACAAAAGAAATATTTTAGAAGGCATAAAATAAAATTCAAAATCATAAAAAGAGAATTAGTTGCATGTTTTCTTTCTTAATGAAGTTTAAAATGTGGAAGCTACCTCGGGGAGGTGAGCTTGGACTCACTTTGGGCTTCATCCATTACCATATTGTTTGGGTGTTTTACTTTTCCAATTAAGAGTATCTTTTCAGAGAGGCACAGTGGCTCACACCTGTAACCTGACTACTCAGGAGGCAGAGGCCAGGAGGATCATAATTCAGAGCCAGCTGGGGGAAAGCTAGTGAGACCCATCTTGACCAAGCCGATAGTTGGGTGTGGTGGTGCATACCTGTCATCCCAGCTGTATGAAGGAGCAAAAATAGGAGGACTGATGTCTGTGCCAGCCAGGATAACACTAAACACACCATCCCCCAAACAGCTGAACCGGAAAGCACTTGGGGCGTGGCTCAGAGGTACAGTGACTACCCTGCAAGCACAAGGTCCTAAGTCCTAACATTTATAAGTAATCCACTGTGATATTTATTTTCTAATATACCCAGAGATGTAGAAAAGCCCATGATGGCAATACACAAACTAAGATCTTTACAGATTACCAGGCAGAAGACAAAATAAAAATCAGTGACTTCATTATTACCACACACAAAAAGTCTCCATAAAATACCTAGAGATAGTTCTAAGGAAAGTGGACTATTTGAAGGAAATAATAGAAGAAGCAGAGAAATGTGGAGCTTCATTATTACCCCTAGATAAACAAAAACAACATATTTCAAAAACACAGTCTTCTGAATTTAACGCACTGACAGAAAAAAGGCAAAAAAGTACTTAATATTATATATATATATATATATATATATATATATATATATATATATATATATATGAGAAGGAGAGAGGGAGAGAGAGAGTCTGTACTCGTCTTGAGCACAGGGCCTTGTTCTCTTCCTTGACTTTTTTACTCAAGGCTGGTGCTCTACCACTTGAGCCACATTTCCACTTTTTGTCTTGTCAATTGCAGATAGGAGTTTCACAGCTTTGTCCTATTGGACTGCTTCAAATCTCAATGCTGAGATCTCCGCCTCTTAAGTAGCTAGGATTATATTCCTGAGCCCCCAGAGTAAGGCTTATTTTTACATTTTAAAAAGTGTTAATAAAATGTCATTAATCAAAATCAATTGAAAGTAGCTAGGTGTCGGAGGCTCACGCCTGTAATCCTAGCTACTCAGGAGGCTGAGATCTGAAGATCACAGTTCAAAGCCAGCTCAGGCAGGAAAGTCTGTGAGACTCTTATCTCCAATAAACCATTAGAAAACTGGAAATGATGCTATGGCTCAAGCAGTGGAGCGCTCGCCTTGAGCTGAAGAGCTGAGGGACGGTGCCCAGGCCCAGAGTTAGACCCATGACTTACAATAAAAAAAAAAAAGGACTGAAGGTTTTGGAAATGGGTTTTATTTTTTATTTTTAATGTACTATGTGATATTTTTGTTTTCTTTTTTCCTTTGGTTTACCCCTTGTTGTCAGTGATTATGATTTTGTTACCTCATTTCTTCTATATGTTTATCTGATTTGGGGAAGGAAAGGGTAATAACCAAGGGCAAAAGGTGAGCCAGGGCAACAGCGATACCCACAAGACATGATGTTGGAAATGACCTTTGCAAATTGGGGAGCAGGGGATAGGGGGGAGCGGGGGAGGGTAGGGGGGAAGTGGGAGAACACAAGGGGAGTTACAGGATCAACAAGAAATGTCCTCATTACTTACATAACTGCAACTCCTCTGTGTATCACATTTACAACGAAATTAAATTAAAAAGGAAAGAGTGATAATGGAGAAAGATTTCCACTTAATTCTCTACAACAAAATTATGCCCTGTACAAGTTATATCCCTGAATAAGGCCTCAGGTTAGAGCCTCAGTACTATATAGACCCCCTCCACACAGAAATGCACATATTAGCTAGAGATACGTGCTATACTCAGCAAAAGGCACATACTATGTATATTGGTGTACCTTTTAAAACTAGAGACTAACTCTAAAAATTAGGCAACTCCCTTTCTTTGCATTTTCTTTCCACTGAATTTTCTAGTTGATTTCCCAAAGTGGGAGAGGGCTCATAAGTTAATTTTCCCTTCTCCACAATTTCCAAGTGGTGATCCAAGTGTCCTGGGGCAGCTAAGACAATCCTGATTGGAAGGTAAAAGATGTTTGCACTACTTAACCTCTAGCCTGTCTGGACGGTCACACATGCCTTATGTTACATTACATAACCCTACCCCCATCAAACTCATGTAAACATGATCTGAACACCCTTGCTGTATCAAGGGGGAGGGTGGTCTCCCACCCCCAGGACTGGCCTATGGGCTGGTGAATAGTTGATGTGTTTACTGGCAATGTGACAAGGATCACATATTGGCAAACTCAGCCTCATCCTTGCCAAACCACAGATGCAACTTCCAATAGGCAACTACTCTAGGGATCACACTTTGAAGTGCTGCCCAGCGGCAGCTAATAACCAGCCAATCCCTGGGCCTAGGGAAAGAGCAAATGTCATTGGTTGGTGGGTCACCCTCCTCTCAATAATGCATTATAAAAGCTTTGCTTTCCCTGCAGGTCATCCCTACAAGTCAGCCCAGGACCCTAGATACCATGGCTGCCCTTTGCATCACCGTGGCTCTGCTGGTGTGGATGGCCACCCTCCTGCTCATATCCCTCTGGAGGCAGATACTCAGCAGCTGGAACCTGCCCCCGGGGCCCTTCCCACTGCCTATTGTTGGGAACTTTTTCAGTGTGGATTTGAAGGATGTTCCTAAGTCCTTAAACAAGGTAATATAAACATTGTTATTTTAGGGACAAAGTGTTGGGAATTATCTTATGTGAGGGCTTTAAATTGTTATTCAGTGCTAGCCTAGTTAAGAATTAACTGAATTAATAGTAATATCCAAGAGTGATAACCAATGGTACACCTCAGGTGTGCACCATGCAGAATGGCTTTGCCACACAAGGACCATGTAGTGGGATGCCTGTGAGGCTGATGTGGCTGGCATTGCTCCGGGCCAGCTGTGACGTAATGTCAGGTGCATCTTGGCTGGTGTCACACCATTAGATGCCAAAGAAAAGTCAAGAGGTAAGTGCTGGGCCGTGACGTTTCACCAGAACATCAGGACCTGTGTCCTGGGCATGTTGTGTGAGTTGACTGAAGCCAAATGCCATCAAGCAGATCTGGCGCTTGACATTTGCTTTAGGGTGTTATTAAGCACTGCAGAGAGGATACAGGCTATGGGGCCACAGACTGTAGGTCAACGGGCAGCATCATGGGGTCTATTGCCACAGGGAAGAGACATGAGGGGCCAATGTCCCCAGATTTGGTGTCCAGGTAAGAAGAGGGTGTCCATGTAAGTAATGCAGCCTCTTGTGGGGAGTGTCCCCACATCAGGCTAGACAAAGACAGCCTTTCCCCAGATCCCTCCACAGCCAAAGTCTTAATAATGCCTGGCAGTGTTGTTCCTGACCCACTCTGTGTTGATCCCCACAGCTGGCAGAGCGCTTCGGGCCTGTCTTCACTCTGCACCTGGGTTTTAACCGTATTGTGGTCCTGCATGGCTACAAGGCCGTGAAGGAGGGGCTGTTGAAATACAAGAATGAGTTCTCTGGCAGAGCAGAGATCCCTGCCTTCAAGGAGCATGAGAACAAGGGTGAGTCCACCTCCTAGGCAGCAAGTATGGTCAGGCCCACTAGGGACAGGGACATGCCCCTCCCAAGTCCTACAGAAACAATCGTAGTGACAGCAATGACAGTATGAAATCAGAAAGACAAAATGAAGGTTAGGGGCCAGCTTAATTGGTGGAGCAGTAGCCAAAGTGCAAAAGCGTTAGCTACAGACTTTTGTCCTGGTCTCAGACATTTATAAAAAGAAGGAAAGACAAAAGAAAGCCAAAAGACCCTCAGACCATTTGGGGATGGGTTGTCCTTGTATGAAAGCTGCTGTGAAGTTTTTGTTGAGTAGGTGCTGTGAATTGCTTATCCCAGAATGCCCAGTGCCCAGCAAGTACCTTTTAGAGAGCAGGTACCCACATACCCTTGTTGGAGAAGGGCCATGGATAAATGAAGAGGAGGGAGGAGGTAGGGAGGAAGGGACCGGGGCCTCTGGAGTACAGGAAGCACAAGGCACCAGACACTGCTTGGCAGGAACAGAGTGGGTCTGTGGCAGCCCTGGACTGCTGAAACTCGTTGCAAGGGACGCAAGTCTCTATTAACACTTTCAAGGACAAAAGAACATGGTTTTAGATCTGTTCATTCCAAATGTCTCCATGCTCCTGAGAGTCCCGCAGGCCACATTCTGGAGGAGGGAAAGGCAGGGTAGGACTGTGTCCTAGAAGGCTTGCTGAGGGGGAAGTGCTCAGTCTTCCCAGCTTGAGGTGCCCACAGCAGAGTCCGGAGGCCTTCAGAACTTCGTGAACGAGATTGCTAGGGAGCCGCAGTGCCGGGAGTTGAGATGTTTGGAACTTGATGGTTAAAATCCATGGGAACAGAAGGCCACACAAGAATTTTGTTGATAGGCAGAAAGTGGCTAGCTCTCTTGATTTGGCTGTGGGGGTTTCATTTTTGTTTAGCATGGAGAAGACTAGCCGTAAGTATAAAACCAAAGAAAATAAACTGCTGCTTAGACGCAGACATCCAGGAAGGGTTGAATGTGCCAGAGAAACAAGGCCTGCCCCTTCCCTTCAAGGGGACTTGTTCCATAGTTTCACATCACAACTGGTACTGAGCCTCTGATGCGGTCACCCCAGTCCTCCTGTTTCTTTGAGACTTGTGCAATTGGGGTAAATTCTGCTGGCCCCTATTTTTCAGGAGTTATTTTCAACAATTCTCACACCTGGAGGGATGTCCGCCGGTTTTCCCTGAGCATCCTCCGAGACTATGGGATGGGGAAACAGGGCAATGAGGAGCGCATCCAGAGGGAGGCTGGCTTCCTGGTGGAGGAGCTCAGGAAGACCCAGGGTGAGTGTTCCCAGGCAGACAGAGGGAGGAGGGTCTTGGACAGGCCCGAGAAGGCTCTGAAGAACCTTGAAGTGGTAGGCAGCTCCTCTCCTCTCAGGAGAGAGTGACGATGCTTCTCAGGCACTGCTCCCTTGATTCATTTCCAGTTCTACTCTGTAATGGAGCAGGATGCACACCAAGTGTGTCTGCTGTGCTCTAGAGAGCACTGAAACGTGAGGATAGTTGAGAAGGCCCTGCTCTCACAGGGACTGGTGAGGCTCAGTGGCGTCTGAGGGGTGGGCTAGCCAGCCCTGGCTCGTGTCCTTACACCAACGTGGGCTCTAACATCTCACCTGTTTTCCAGGCCAGCCCTTTGACCCTACTTTTCTCATTGGTTGTGCACCCTGCAATGTCATCGCCGACATCCTCTTCAACAGGCGTTTCGATTATAATGACAAGACGGTTCATAGGCTCATGCGTTTGTTCAATGAGGACTTCTACTTGCTTAGCACTGCTTGGGTCCAGGTAGTTATTTGGTTTCTTTTCATTAATCTTTTGTTGTACAGTTACCATAGAAATAAGAGGGTCAAGAGCTGGGAAGGTGGCCGAGTGGTAGAGCGCTTGTCTTCCATGCATGAGGCCCTGGGTTCAATTCCTCAGCACCACATAAACAAAAAACCAGAAGTGGGGGTGGGCTGGAGAATGGGAAGGGATGGGAAGGGGAAACAAAGGAGGAGGCTACAATGCTTCATAAGAAATGTACTCATTATCTTGCCCATGTCATTGTATCCCCTCTGTACAGTATTTTCACAAAAAAAATGCCAGAATTGGTGCTGTGGATCAAGTAGTAGAAAGCTAACCTTGATCCGAAGAGTGCAGGGAGAGCACCCAGGCCCAGAGTTCAAGACCCATGACTGACAAAAAAAAAATGAAAAAAAGAAATAGAGACAATTTAGGTCAAATGGATAGAAAGGTTTGGAAAAGCTCTAGAATAGGAGCATGTCAAAGTATTTGACTAGATAGTTCCAGGAGCCCTTTAAGAGATGTCTATGCATCCATGAGCATCTTTGTCCTAACCCAACTGTGCTTTTCATCCACAAGTCAGCACATTTTCATCACAGAGATATAATGCGTGGGAAAATAATTACTCTTACCACAAAGACATTGTTGCACAAAATATCCTAAATTGTATAGTTATCTCATGCATGAATTGATGTTTGAGGTTTATGATCCCAGCACATGAAATGATGTGGCATCCACAAAAATGATACAGTAACATATTCTTCCTTTTAGCTTTATAACAATTCATCGGGCTACCTACGCTTCCTGCCTGGAAGCCACAGAAAACTGCTTAAGAATGTGTCTGAAATAAAACAGTACACACTTGAAAAAGCCGAGGAACATCTCCAGTCTGTGGATCTCAACTGCCCCCGTGATGTGACTGACCGCCTGCTGGTGGAAATGGAGAAGGTATCTGGCATAGAATAGAAGGTGGATGTGGTATATTTTTCAGACTGAGGCCATATCCCACTTGCTGGCATCTAGAGTGTTCACCCTGGTTGCTCTTGATGCTCTTTTATTGTTAAAGACACATTGGGCTCAGCATGACCCCTGAGCTCTTCTTTCCACTCTTGAGAAGGGTGGATGGGCAGGTGGATCTCTCCTTCAGTTTCCCAGGCTGGAGAGGGCTGTAGTGCTTTCAGAATCCGTCAGAACAGCTGGTGGCACTTATTCCTCAGCAGTGCTGGACTTCTCGAGGTTCTGTCCCTCCCCAGTTTCATGGTTTTGAAACCCCTTGGACTAGCCTTGCCCAGATTGGTGAGGCCTCTAGTACCCTTTTATAACATGTCAATGCATGCTAATTCCCCATGGATGGCTTCTGAGGCTGAGACTTCTTCTCCTCAGCTGAGCCCTCCCTGCCCAAGTCTGGAAGAAGACTCAGCAGCTCATGCAGCTGGAGGCCCAAAAGTGAGGCTAGAGTTCCTCAGTTCCCCCAGGAGAGCCCTAGCTCTGTTGATGGAGATAGCTCCGTGGCCTTGTTGAGGAGCTTTGTCCTCCTGTTAGCTTGTGTTCTAGGAGCCTCTGTTTGCCTATCTGTGAGGTAGAGATGATCAAAGCCTGGTTGAACCAGGAGATCCTGCCATACCACTGGTTCTATTCTGCTGAAGGGCAAAAGACATCACTTTCAGCACCTGGGGACAACATCTCACCCAGTACCTGTCTGTCTCCTACTCCACAGGAAAAACATAGCGAAGAGCCTGTGTACACACTGGAAAATATTTCTGTGACCTTGGCAGACCTGTTCTTTGCAGGGACAGAAACTACCAGTACCACTCTGAGATATGGGCTCCTGATTCTAATGAAATACCCCGAGATTGAAGGTATGCACATAACAAACAGAAGCCTGTGTGTCATGGTTGAGTCTCTGCGTGACTAGTCTTAAGCCTATAGGCCTCACCTGTCAGCCTACAGCTGCTTGTTCCCTTTCTCAGGATCATGGAATGACTTCTTTTAAGGGGAGATGCCCCTGTGGTTCCTCTGAACACTGTTATCTCAAGCCCCACCAGAGCCTCTGGTTACAAAAAAGAGAAGCTCCACACTGAAGTAGGGAGAGGACATCAGCCTGCATTCTGCCTTATAAACAACGTCTTTATGACAGTGACAACAGTGTTTAGCTGCCTCTGGTGGAGCCTGGGCTTAGGCGGAGCTGGGTTCAGGGACAAGGCTGGAGTTGTCTTGGGACAACTGAAGATGGAACCTAGAGAGAAGCACCCAAAGCTTCCTCAGAGCCACATCATTCCACAGACTTCCCAGCCGCACAGAGGCAGGTAGGGCTCCATGTCTGGAGCAGGCCTGGTGCAGGCAAGGAGGCCTGGGCTTGGTGTGCAGAGGGTCATGGCCCCGCCCTGCCCCGCCCCCGGCCAGGTAGAGGCAAGGTGAGGACAATTCAATGGAAACAGCTTGTTGGCGCTAACCTCCAAGTAAGGAGAAGTGGGGTGAGGGCACCCGTAGATCTGGAGCCCTGTCACCCTTTTCCTTGGTACACTCTGTCCAGAGCACTGCTCCAAGCACACTTGCTGCTGACTGGACCTGGACTAAGTTCTGGGCAAAGGGCAGTCCTTCAGTGTGCTGTGTTCTTCCAGCTCACCCGTCTTGAGAGCCAGTGTGGAATGAAGCCATGGCCCCAGGCCGTGGGTGCATGAGAGGTCCAGGGTCAGGCCTGATCCCTGGTCTTTCAGCCAGAAACGTTTTTGTTTTTTGTCACACAGAAATGTGAAGGATGAAGGAGCCAGAAGTCCAGAGAGAGAGACTGTATGCATGGGCAGCATTTATAAGAAAAACTTTTTTTTGCAATAGGGGATTGAACCCGGGTCTTTGTGCATATTAAGCATGCACTCTATCCCTGAGTCATGCTTCAGGCCCATAGAAAAACTTTTGACCAAGCCGCCTGCCGGTGGCTCATGCCTGTAATCCTGGCTACTCAAGAGGCTGAGATCTGAAGATCGTGGTTCAAAGGCAGCTCAGCATGAAAGACCGTGAGACTCCTATGTCCAATAAACCACTAGAGAACCAGAAGTGGCGCTGCAGCTCAAGTGCTAGAGCGCTTGCCTTGAGCTGAAGAGCTGAGGGACAGCGCCCAGGCCCAGAGTTCAACCCCACAACCGACCAAAATAAAATAAGAACTTTTGACCACTGTGCTATGAGAACTAAGTGTAGATCACCTTACCATGAGAACCATGATCTAAGAAAGATTTAAAATGATTAATTTTGAAGCCGGGTACCAGTGGTTCATGCCTGTAATCCTAGCCATTCAGGAGGACAAGATCTGAAGATTGTGGTTCAAAGTTATCCTTTGTTTGAAACTCCATGAGACTCTTATCTCCAATTAACCACCAGAAAAAGGGAAGTGATGATGTGGCTGTCATGGTAGAGCGCTTGCCTTGAGCTGAAAAGCTCAGGGACAGTGCCCAGATCCAGAGTGTGAGCCCACCACTGACAGAAAAGTTATTAATTATGAGGAATTCCTAATAGAGACATAAAGTGAGTATGACAACTCCCCAACGCTCATTGCCAAATTTAACATGTACATGTTCAGAGACAGCCAAAGCCCTTCCAACTCCTGCCTGCCTGCCCAGAGATGGCGCTGTTTCAGGTTTGCTACCTATTGTCCCTCAGTGCATTTACTATTAACTCAATGCCCACTCACATCTTTGCTGTACACAGCTTAATAGTCTACCTGGTTTCCATGCTATAAATGACATATTGAAGTTTGCTTTTTCATCTAATGTTTCCTAAAGTTTAATGGGTGATTTCAAACAGAGAAGGATTGAGAAATTGTCTAATGGCTGTGTTAGCTCTAGCAGAGAGGGACTTTCAGATTCCAAGTAGTCTGTGGCCAGGTATTATGGGACACATCTGTAATTCAAGCTAATCTGGTGTTGGCCAGCCTGTGCAAAAGGTAGTGGTGAGACTCAGTCTCAAAACAAAATAAAAATCTAGGCACTGGTGGTTCATGCCTGTAATATTAGCTACTCGGGAGACTAAGATCTTAGAATGGTTATTCAAATATGGCAGGAATGTCGATGAGACGATCTCCAATTAGCCAGCCAAAAGCTGAAAGGGGAGCAATGGCTCAAGTGGTAGAGCACTAGCCGTGAGCATCAAACCAGGGACAGTGTCCAGGCCCTGAGTTTAATCCTCAGACCAGCGTGCACACACGCTCACACACACACACACACACACACACACACACACACACACACACACACATACACACATGCATCTACATAAGTAAAAAGCTACAGCATAATTTGAGCGGCAAATGTTTGTGTAGCATGCTCAAGACTCAACCCCAAAAGATTGAAAAGTTCTATTATGTTTCCCCTTCATATTTTTTGAAGCATAGAGTAAAGCAGCCAGGAGTGATAATCACACAAGTATTTCCTTCCAAGGAATAACTTCCAAGATCTTTTTGTTGTTCTTTTTTCCTGACAATAGCTGGATAAACAATAATTAGGTAAGATAATGGATAACAAACTATTTGTTGACTGAATAATCTCACATCCATAAATGTGAGACCTTAGGTCTTCTTTGCATTTGAATTACCTGCGGTTCCAAATTAAAAATATGCCATAAATGTGATGATCTTAAACTTGTGGCGCATGGATAGAAGGATAGCTATATAACAGACTGGTGGGCAGAAGAGTGGGTGGATGTGTGGAGGTGTGGTAGAACGATGTATGGGCAGATGAGTAGAAACGTGGGTAGGTAGATGGAAAACTGATTAGACACACAGGAGGATGTGATGGGAAATCAATTACTTATTCACCTGTTCCCACATTTGTATTAACATCATTGTACCAAAGGGTTTCTTTTACACACGTCCATATGGGCTTACAATTGCTTTGATCAGGATCAGCTCTTTAAATGGATCTCATTCATGTCTTGGCAGAGAAACTTCATGAAGAAATCGATAGGGTTATTGGGCCAAGTCGCGTCCCTGCCGTCAAAGACAGGCTGGAGATGCCCTACATGGATGCTGTGGTGCATGAGATTCAGAGATTCATCAACCTTGTGCCCTCCAGCCTTCCCCATGAGGTGACGCGGGACATCATGTTCCGAGGATACCGGATTCCCAAGGTCAGAGACAAGATGCAATGCCTCCTGTGAGCCTTGTCCTGATGACTGGCTCACCCTTTGCCTGCTGGGGTCCAGACAGGAATTCCAGGGCTTCTGTCGTGAGGGTGCCTGGATGGTGGTCCAGGTCAGCACTCCCACCCTGCGGAGTGCCACTGCCAGGGACGTTCTCACGTGACGTGGTGACTAGAGAAACGGGCATACTAGGAGAGTACATCCGTAAAGGAGGCCTGGAAATCGTAGCACATTCTAATCCCAGGAGCCAAAATCACCAACCAAGACCGGGTTTTCATTCTGTGAAGTTTCCGGTTGTTATCTCATTTAGGATTGACCCCAGGTTGTTTCCCGTCTAGTCCTTAACTAAACAACTTTCCTAACTAGATATTTAATATCCTGCACAATAAAAATCAGATAATCTTTTATTCATTGGGACTTCCAGGTGAAAGACCATATTTTCTAAAGCTAACTGACCGATGCGTCTACTTTTTCTAGGGTACAGTTGTAATTCCAGCCCTGGATTCACTTTTGTATGACAGCCAAGAATTTCCAGAACCAGATAAATTTGAGCCAGAGCACTTTTTGAATGACAATGGGAAGTTCAAGTACAGCGACTATTTTAAACCATTTTCTGCAGGTAAGCAGGACCCAGAGTAGTGCTTTCCTGGGTCACATCCTCCACTCCTCATTTCCACTCCTTGTCTGTCTTGCCATCACCCCAACATGGACCACACCCAGTCCTGCCATGCCCCGGTTTGTATGTAGAACATGATCTGAGCATGTTCCTCCCTGTTCAGAGAACTTAGATTACATCTTTTATCAATTCAATGTTTTGGATGGAATATGTTTTTACATTCATTGTTAAACTGTGTCTGCTTTACTAGACATAGTAAGAATATCTCAAAACCATATTTCTTGCTGGGCGCTGGTGGCTCATGCCTGTAATCCTAGCTACTCAGGAGGAGGTTGAGATCTGAGGATCACAGTTTAAAGTCAGCCCGGGCAGAAAAGTCCATGAGACTCTTACCTGCAATTACCCACTAGAAAACCCGAAGTAGCGCTGTGGCTCAAGTGGTAGAGCCTTCACCTTGAGCTGAAGAGCTCAGGGATAATGCCCAAGCCCAGTAAGCCCAGAGTTCAAGCCACAGGACCAACAAAAAATAACCCCAAAACATATTTCTTAATTCCTCATCATTTTAAACAAGGCTTACTAACCAAAACAGAACAAAAGCCCTGCAGCCTTCGATTTCGTAGTCTCTCTCTCCTTAGGAAGTAGCAAGGCCTTCTCTGATATGACTGGGTGCCTTGCTCCCTTGCCGGTGCCTCACCAGGGTTCTGGTGAAGCAAGCTCCTAGGACCAACTTGATAGATGAACACCTCTTGTTTGAATGGGCTTCTAACCTGGGGCTGTCTTTCCTGGGGCATCAGGGGGAGCATTAGATGTTTCCTTCTTCACTGGCTGGAAACAATTTCCCTAACCTAATGCTGTTTTTTAAAATTTGATTTAACAACTACTTATTGTAACTTTTTGTTTTTATCAATACTTTATTCTGACACTAGTTATTGCAGCTGAGTTCTGCATGATTGTTGTAGTATACAAACTGGTCCTTGAATAAGTTACTAATATTCTTGTGTTTTGTCAATATGTTTTGTGCTTCTCATCGTCTGCGAGGGTGTCTTCTGCTTTAGGCTGTAGTTTGCCGATAGCCCCTCCTGCTCTCCCATTGAGGCCCTACTATTAATAGTGTTAATAACCTCTGGAGGCTCCCTTCTTGTCTCATCAGTATTGTTACTTCTAGGAAAACGAGTGTGTGTCGGAGAAGGCCTGGCCCGCATGGAATTGTTTCTGCTCCTGTCTGCTATCCTGCAGCATTTTAATCTGAAGTCTCTGGTGGACCCCACGGCCATTGACCTTACCCCGATTGCAGTTGGTTTAGGCAGCGTCCCTCCACACTACAAACTGTGTGTCATTCCTCGGTCATGACTGTGAACAAATGTACCACAGAGACCACTGTCTGGGCGACAGCCCACAGAGCCTCTCAGTGTCAGGAAGCTGGGCAGTGCAAGTAGATGAATTAGACCAAAGGAAATGCTTTCCAAAGTTGGTCTCCATGCAGTGAAGCCAAGTGCAAGGTAGATGTTGTGAAGCTAAACTGTGCATCTGCTCCAGGCTGTGTTGAAATCTGGTAGTTAAATCTGGTAGCTATGAATCTGTCACTGTCACTGTGAGCTCAGTTTTTCTGAAAAAGTAAGTCTATCTCATTTACTAGTTAGTTTCTCATCCCCTCTCCAGTGCACACACTTCCCACCACAGTGAGCTGGCAGTGCAGCATCTCCCAGCCTGTCTCTGTCTCTGGTCCTCCTCCCTCTCCCTCAGAAGACTGCCTTATGAATGGGCCACCCAGATAGTTCAGGGTGATCTCCTCATCTTAAGGTCCTGAACTCAGTTATGTATTCAAAGGATCATATTAATAGGTTCTTGGGAGTAGGATATGGGCATCTTTGGGGACACTGTTCTGCAGACCACACCTTCCAGCTCATCCTCCTGGGTCACTACTGAGGCTCAGAGCTGACAGACAGGCTGAAGGGACAGTCACTCCACAGAAAGCCCTGGCATTTGTCACCATCAAATGTCCACAGCACAAGACTGCTTTCAGAAGAGTGTGTATCAAAATGTATTTTAATTTGTTTTGGGTCAGGAACGCATCAGCTTAATAGATTCTAAGTAATGAGGGGGAACTGCTGGGGCGGGTGTGGGAGCCTTTGGGGCCCCTGTCTAACTGACTGAAGTGTCTTTAAGCACTAGTCCTCTGAGGCTGACATCCTGGTCAGCTGCTTCCTCAGTCGTTTCCTGAGTCTGGGTTGTGACAGGCCTGCTGTCTCCTCAAGGGACGAGCACTAATGTCAGAGTTGATGTCACTTTGGAAATGAGTCTTCCTCAAGAAACTATCTACTGCTACCAACCACATTTTCCAAAGTAAGAACAATAAAGCGTCAATAGAAAGGGTATGGATAACGGAAGGAGAAATGGCTGTTGAATTGGAATGGGATGCTCGATTCAGCTCTCAGCAGAGACATTCAAGTCCTGTTTCCAGGCCACGCTCTGTCTCAGGCTTGACTTGTAGGAGCACATGCAAGTGACCAAGACTGTGGCTCCCGCATTCATTGCTGTTAAGGGTCTTCCTGGATACTCATGAAATCACACAGGGCAGTCTGATAATTCTCTCCTCTCCCTACTTTTGGTGATGGATGATGTTATAAACCTGTAGATACCCCGTGTGACATGTATTTACTGGTCACTCCCAGTGGGCCAGGCCTTGCTTCCTTCTGGTTCTGTTCTGGTAGCAGCAGTGTCTAGTAGGGAGGACCACAGTGTCAGGCCTGCTGAGTAGACTCAACGTCCTCTTTGGAGGAGGAAGAACATGACGGAGAGCTCTGAGGGCTGAACAAGACAAGAGTGCCATTGTGCTTTGCTGCACCACAGTTATCCAGGCATAGAAGATGTCCAAGACAGGCTGCTCCCTCATATGCTGTTCCCCAATAGTTACAGCCACAGATGCCCAGAAGATCCACTCCTTGGAAGCTATCTAGCTATCATTAAGCATACTCCAAGCCAGCTGGGGGCCTGTGGCTCATGCCACAGCTAGCTATTCAGGATGCTGAGATCTGAGGATTATGGTTCAAAGCCAGCCTGGGCGGGAAAGTCCATGAGACTCTTCTCTCCAATAAACCACTAGAAAACTGGAAGTGGCTCTGTGGCTCAAGTGGTAGAGTGCTCACCTTGAGCTGAAGAGCTCAGGGACATTGCCCAGGCCCAGAGTTCAAGCCCGAAGACTGACAAAAATAAAACAACAAAAAAAAAAAACTGCAAGCCAGGCTCCAGTGGCTCAATCCTGTAATGCTAGCTACTCAGGAGGCTGAGATCTGAGGATCACTGTTCCAAGTCAGCACGAGCAGAATTGTCCATGACACTCTTCTCCAATTAACCACCAGAAAACCAGAAGTGGCACTGTGGTTCAAGTGGTAGAGTGCTTGCCTTGAGCTGAAGAGCTGAGGGACAGTGCTCAGGTCCAGAGTTCTAGCCCCACAAGCGACCAAAAATAAAAAAGATACTGCAACAACTTCAGCACTTTGGACACTATTTAATGGCTTCCATTCTCAGGACCAGCCCACTTTCTCACCATATTTTCCCTTCTTTATTAGCATTATTGAAGTGTGATTTATATATCATAAAATTTAATCCATTTTATACATTTAATGAGACTTCCTAGGTATACCTTCATGAAGATGCCACCACAGTGGCCTTTTCCAGTGGAACATTTCCAGGACCTCGGAGTAGGCTTCATACCTGTTACAGGTAGGATGTAAATCCCATCCTCAAGCCTTGGTCATCAACTTCATCTGTGTTCCAGAAGGCCCATGGTCCTGGATGCTACTCAAACAAAGCTAGTGACTTTGCATATGGAATGGCTTTTGCTTGTAAGAGAGATGGAAGGAATTACAGTTCAAGGCCCAGCTGGATAAAAAGTTTGTCAGACTCTATTCCCACCAATGGCGGTGCTCTGTGGCACATGGCTATTATCCCAACAATACAGGGAAACACGAGTAGGAAGTCTGTGGTCCAGAACAGCCTGGACATGCAGCAAGACCCTATTTCAAAAATAAGAAATTCCAAAGGACGGTAGAATGGCTCAGGACGTAGTGCCTGCTTAGCAAGCAGTATGAGTCCTTGAGTCCAAACCTCAGTACTGCCCGGGCTGGTTGAAGACAAGTTGTTGGGGTGAGGAAAAGACAGCCTTTGGAAAGCTAGAAAACCAAAGGAGATGAGGCCATTTCTGGCAAAGACCTTCCTGCAGTGGAGTTTCCGGTATAGGGCTCTCTGGGGTGTGTGGGCACATCAGACAGTCACCTGGACAGTTTCAGATGTCAGGTGGTTGCTCCTCGGATGCATGGTCGGCTGCTCTCTGTCTGCCACCGCATCTTCTGCATCTGTAAAGCTCAAGAGAAGTTACTGATTATAGCGTCCTACGACTCTTGTCATTTTAGTTCTTGTTCCTAGGAATAGTTAATTCTGTAACCATTAGTAACTGAATAAGCATCTTTCCCCCAGAGAACATGGGACAATAGCAAACAGCTAATTTCCCCCTAGAGAACAGGAACAGTAGCAAACAACTGGTTTTCCCCAGAGCACAGCATTCCTGTGCGCACAGGGGAGGTAGCGTTTGCTGGAGAGGAGTTTTTCCCGGTTCAGTGGCTTTAGTCAAAGGTTATTCTGCATTGCAGCTAGTGGGAAACCAACAGCATAGGCCCAACTGCAGGGTCTCCAAGATTAGATCCTTAAACTCCACTAAAGGCAAGTGGAGCTAGAGGCTTTGTTTAGCTTTTTCATTAGTAATACTTCCTTAGTGTTAACTCTGCAAGAAAGTGGTGGAAATAGAGTTACACGCCCTGAAGAAGACATGTCTTGGACATTTGCACTGTCAGTGCTGGGTGGCTCACGGTAGCACACCGTTGGTGATGGATGGTGACAGGACCTGGAGGGCTGGCAGGAGGTGTCTTTCACCTCTCATCTGGCCACAAATGCATAGGAGGTGGAGTGTGACTGGTTTCACCTCTCCTCAGGGAGAGACCTTGCTCTGTGCCCTCTACACCACTGTGAAACCTGGACAGCAAGCCACTAAGCAGTGCTGGGGTAGAGGATGACTTGGAGGTGAGTGGAGGTGAGGTCAATGTCATGTCATAGATGATGGCCTCCAGGGACACAGTATGTCTGCAGTCAGATCATGAGTCAGTATGGCTTCAGTGTTCACATTTTCTACTGCAAGTAGCCCTTTCTGAGTGCCTGCAGCATGGCGAGCACCCACTTCAGACACCACAATCACTGTCTTCCGACTGCAGTCTACATAGCCCTGGCACTATGCCTATACCCACTGGAGCCCTCTTTTTCCCTCTCTGTAGCCTTCTTACATTTTCCCCTAAATGTATTGATTTGCCTGGAGTTTGAGTGTGGAGGAGATCATCAGCAAGCCTGAAGGCTTATAATCATGATGTAGGACGGAAGATCAGTCTCAGTTTGGTAATAAATGCTGGCAATCTGTGTCAGCTAATCAAACTCTCTTCGTGTCATGTCTTCATCTCTAAAATGAGGATGATAGTATTTCACTCCTTTTTGGTAGTTTTGTGAAGATTTTTATTATCGTCTACTGGTTGTAGAAGGAGTTTCCATCTTGATACATCCAAATATGTTTATTTCCTCTTGATCATACCCACCCCCTATAATTCTCCCTTATAAATTCTCCTCCCTTCCCACATTGGTGTATGGTATCATTTACTTCTGCGGTTTGTTTGCAGATTTTTCATCTGGATGACCTATCTAATGAGGAAAGCAAGATAATAGAGTCTCCTACCGTCACTGTCTTTAGAGCTATCTGGGCTTTTAAATCCAGTAATGTCCATCTGATGACGTGGAATGCACCAGCATTTGGTGCATCTATGTTACTAGTTATTGTCTTGATGTCTTTTTTTTTCCTTCACCATAAGCCAATGTGGTCTTTTGTCAGTAAGATGTGGTTCTTGTAGACAACAAGTGGTCAGGTCTTGCTTTTTAATCCTGCTTATCATTCTATGTCTTTTGCTTGGAGAATTAAGACTCTTAATATTCAGTGTTATTACTGAAAGGTATGAATTGATCTTTGCCATTTTATTGTTCATATGGGAAAGTTTAGCATACATTGTCCACAGCCAGTTTCCTGTATATACTAAGCTATTCTGCAACTTGTGTCACAGAAATTGAATTGTTCCTCTTTTTTATTGGTAGTTTGTTGACCAGTGGTGCTTTTATTTTAATTACTAAAGATATATAGCACATTTCATATTTACTGAACATTTGGAAGTTTCCTGTTTGAGGTAGATATTAGTTTCTTGACTTCCTTCCTGATGGGTTATCTTTTCCTATTAAAAATATCCAGTTAGCTGTGTGCTGGTGGCTCACTCCTATAATCCTAGTTACTCAGGAGGCTGAGTCCTAGGATCACGGTTCAAAGATAGCCTTGGCAGGAAAAGTCTATGAGACTTTTAACCACCAGAAAATTGAAGTGGCACTGTGGCTCAAAGTGGTAGACCACTGCCCTTGAGCACAGAAACTCAGGTATAGCACTAGGCCCTGAGTTCAAACCCCACGACCAACAAAAAAAAGTATCAAATTATATGTGAGGATATAATGTTCTCTACAGTTTTGCTTATCTTTGTTTCCTGAATGACATCATTTAATGACTAGAATTTTTATTTTAATATTTTTATTTATAATCTTATATTTTAAATCTTAATATAATTTTTATAGAATATTCTAATTTTACCCAATTTACAAATATTTCATTTTCATAGTTTTGATACACTTTAAAAGAATTAATCTGAGACTTTTGTTGTTTTTGTGTTTAGATGTTTATTTTCCTTGGTGGTGACATTGACTAGTATCTAGAAAGGGCACAATAGCATTTCTTTATCACATAGATACCAAAGTGTCCAACACTTGCTTTATTTCATTGGAATTTCTTTTTTTGGGCTTAATAGTTCAATCTCCTATTCTCAAGTGCCTAGAATGCAAGGTTTTCTTAATCTCTCTCTCTCTCTCTCTCCCTCCCTCTTTAGTTCCACTGGCCTATTTGTCTAATTTCCAGTCCTATTTGATTATGATTAGCTTATAACATATTTTTTAGAATTATATAATATACATTTTCACCTAATTTGCCAGAGAGAGAATGAATATTTGTCTGTTATTTAGTGCTAGTCCTGGGGCTTGAACTCAGGACTGGGGCTCTGTCCTTGAGCTTTTTTTCCCTCCTGAAGACTAGAGCTCTATAACTTGAGCCACAGCTCCACTTCCAGTTTTTTTGGGGGGTGGTTAACTGGAGTTAAGAGTCTTACAGACTTTCCTGCCCAGGCTAGTTTTAAACCAAGATCCTCAGATCTTAGCCTCCTGAGTAGCTAGGATTACAGTCATTAGCCACTGGCACTTGGCTCCAATATCTACTTTTGTTAATTCTCTGTATACTAATTTTATTAAGATGTTCATTTTTCCTTATAACGTTCTTTTATACATTTAAGTTTTTCCAACTTACTAAGATTATTATTTTCTAATGAATTCTTATTTTACTTATTTTTCGATTATATGTTTCAATATTGTCTTTAAAAATCATCCTAACAATTTTGTTTGTGGTGCTGATGGTCAAACCCAGGACTTGCAAATGCTGGGCAAATGCTCTGCCACTAACCAAAGTCACAGCCTCATACCTTTACTTTTGCACCAATTCTATTGTGGTATATTCAACAAAAGTGCACTACATCTGAGCTGTGGTTCAAAATGGTAGAGTGCTCTTCATGAGCAAAAGAGCTCAGGGACAGAGCCTGGGCCCTGAGTTCAACCCCTACAACCAACTAAAAAAAGGAAAAAGTATTATGGCTAGATACCAACAGCTCACCCTTTACTCCAAAATTTCCTCATAACCCATACAGATCTTCCTGTCTGCCACTTAACGTCATCCTTTAACTGATAAACTTAAAATAACAGATACAAAACCTTCCTTCCTTCCTTTCTTTGTGTGGGTGTATGTATGCTGGCCCCTGGCTTGAACTCAGGTCCTGACTTTTGTGCTCAAGGCTAGCACTCTGTCACTTGGACCACAGCTTTGTTTCAGGTTTTTTTGTGTGGCTAGTTTAAGAGTCTCAGAGACATTCTTGCTTGGGTTGGCTTTGAACCACAATCCTCTGATCTCAGCCCCAGATGGGAGGGGATTGATTATAGGTGTGAGTTGTTGGTATCTAGTCATAATATTTTTCCTTTTTTTTTTTTTTGTTGTTGGTTGTAGGGCTTGAACTCTGGGCCTGGGCGCTGTCCCTGAGCTCTTTTGCTCATGGAGAGCATTATACCACTTTGAGCCACAGCTCACTTCTTGTTTTTGAGTGGTTATTTGGAGATAAGTGTCTGTCTCATTGGGGACTTTTCTGGCTGAGCTGGCTTTGAACTGTGATCCTTAGATCTCAGCCTCCTGAGTAGCTAGGATTACGGGTGTGAACCATTGGCTCCCATCACATTATTTTTTTTCCTCTCTCTCTTTTTTTTTTTTTAAACTTTTTTGGTCCGGTCGTGGGGCCTGAACCCTGGGCCTGGGCGCTGTCCCTCAGCTCTTTAGCTCAAGGCCAGTGCTCTACCACTTGAGCCACAGCGCCACTTCTGTCTTTTTTCTTTTTGCTTATGTGATGCTGGCATGCAAGGCAAGCGCTCTACCACTGAGCCACCTTCCCAGCCCATACATTACTTTTTCTTAATGAGAGTAGCTATATAGTATGCAACTGGCTGGCCCTGAATTCTAGATTTAGCTTCATTTTTTGTGAGAATTTGAGTAATCTAGGTCTACCTGAAGGAATTACATTATCACGGGGAGGGCTTCTCAGCCTTTTGAGAAGGCCCACATTTGTATCCCTCTGCCTGGGCCCCGCCACTCCCACCCACACCTAGCCCAGACTCAGCAGAGATAGGCTGTACCAAAATTTATCTTTTATTTCATGTATCCCCATGAGATAAGATTGGTGAGGGACATGTCTTCATGGTATCACGGTTTAGGAGGGTATCAGGCCCTGCTTGATGAGTGGCTCCTGGTCTTTTTCCTCACAGACTTCTAGAGACTTCTGTGGGAGGAGGTCAGGGTGCAGGGTGAGTTTTCTTACACTCATGCCCAAAGCTAACCCTTCCCACCTTTCTCTGACCTTTGTGTCCAGTCCCCATCCTTAGCTGTGTCCCCTGCTGGAACGCTCTTGCTCAAGATCATCCTCTTAGACCCCTCAGTACCTTCTCGCTTCCCTTCCCTAGCCTCCCTCAGGAACTATCTCTGCTCCTGGCCACCTAATGCCAGGACTCACCCACTTCCTTTTGCGAGGTGGCCCCTTCTTGCATGCTCTGGGATTGAGCAAGGATCTGAGGCCCATGCTTTTCCAAGTCCTCTTTCAGCCTAGTTAGGAAGTTGTTCCAAAAGGAACAGAATGATGTTAAGAGAGGGGTGGGAGGAGAAGACAGCCCTCATCCTCCTTCCTGGGTTGGGAACGGTAGAAGGGCTCACCTCCACCGCTTCTGCTGCAGATGCTGGCACCTCTGCCGCAGCTGCTGGTGTTGCTTGGCTGCAGCCCCCAGAAGCTCCTCAGCTTTCTTGTTCTCCTCCTTAAACAGTTCCCTGAGGGTAGGGTGGGGTTAGCACCAGCCACTCCCTCCTCTGGCTCCCCCTTCCCTTGCCTCTTACACCACTGCTGCCACTTCCTGGCTTCGGAGGAAGAACCCCTCACTGAGGGTGGAGGGCCCCTCAGGACCACTCAGGGAGAGCAGCCCTTGCTTCACCTCCTCCAGCTTCACCTCAACCAGCTTCTCTGCAGAAGGAAGGGGAGGTGAACACTGAGGGCAGGCAATGGCAAGGCAGGGCAGGGCAGGGTCCTATCCCTGCCCTGGCCTTACCTTCCTTCAGCAGTTGCTCCTTGTTGCTGTCCAGGGCACAGATCTCCCTTGCTGGCTGCTCCGGATTCTGAGGAGGACAAAATCAAGGTCTGTCTACATCTCCTATCTCCCCCATATCTCAGAGAAGCCTGCCTGGATCTGGTCATTTGACCCTCATATCTCATTTCCTAGTACCCTGGCTCCTCTCTGCACACCAGCCAAAGCCCAGCCTTAGGGTCTTTTCTACTGGCCATTCCTATTCCCTGTCTGTTCCTCCACCCCCCACCCCCTGCCCAGCCATGGACCTCTCATAAGAAATAGCTGCTGTGGCAAGTATTTAGTCACAGAAAAGTCTAAAGCTCCTACGACTCTGGCTGTTACCCCAGCATGGCACTGTAGCTCCCGTCTCCCTCCCCTCCCTGTGATGGCCTACTCACTAGTCCTCTTCCCCACGGACATTGCTTCCCAAGGCAAACACTGGTCATCTGTTCCCTGCTGTCTCCCCTGTGCCTATGACAGTCCATCATATCCAGGAGTGTTCTGGATAGGTGCTATCCGGGTTCCTCCTGACCACTGAATGGACACACAGGGCAGCAGGAGCAGGTGTTCAGACCAGCAATGTGGACACCAAACAGAGGAATGGATTCAGGTGATAGTGGTGATAGGTGACCAAGGCTTGCACATGGGCAATATGTGGGAGTCAGGAGGCATGGATCTGAATGACTCACATGAAATTCCCAGAGGTCCTTGTGTTGGCCCATCAGAGTCTCCAGCTGCTGCTCAAAGTCCAACCTGGAGGCCAACCACACAGGCATGAGGCTATGAGCCCGCAGCCTGGCCTGGGCCGGGCATCGTAGGGACCTTACTCATACTCTTCTCCATGAGGAGCACCTTCACCCCCTTGGCCCTGCAGGGCTCAGTTAGACTAGCTCCTCTCACACATCCTCAATACGATCTGATGCCCCTAGCCTCATGTACTGGAGTTTACCTCAGCTGCCTCTGTTTATTCTTCTCTTCCTCAATCTGGGAGTTCAAAGAAGAAATCCTCTCCTGGCACTCTTGCAACATGGTGTGCTTCCTGGAAAGAAAGGCAATCCTCAGCCATTCTCTAACTCTCTTAGAACGGAGCTAGTAGTTTCCCCTCTGTTTAGATCCATATCTGTAACATGGTGGGAGGGGTGTTAGGACAACCTACTCCTGTGTTGTGAAGATTTGGGAGCTCAATAGGGTCATAGTCTCTTACCTCTGGGCCTCATTTTCCTTTTCTTGGCAATGCAGCTGATGGATTCTCAGGGTTTCTATAGAGAGCAATAGGATCCTATAAGTGCCTGACAAGGCATCCACTTTGAGAAGACAGAACAGGTTCAGATTCTGTCAGACTGTGGATATCTTTCTGGGCTTTGACATTTCCCAGTCTGGTGTAAGCCATAGAGGGATGCAACCTCAGGAGGTTTCGAGGCCTTTCTCAACTACAGAAACAAGGGCTTTCTGCAGGATCAATAGCAACAGTCTGAAGATGGAGGAGCTCAAAATACCTTGCTTTTTCCTGAAGATCTCCTTTAGTCGTACTTTTTCTTCATGTACTGAAAAACATAATGTTTACTTATCAGAGATCACCTAGACACTGTCAGGGATAGTCACAGGAGACTAAACCAAACGTGGACCCCTTTAGGTGAGCCTCCTCGCCTTGATACTCATACTTCCTTGTAATCACAAACAACCTTTACATTTGTAACATGTGTGCAAGGGTCCTGTGTGATGCCCATTAGGGCTTGAAAGCAATAACCATCAGAAAGTGATGGGGAGGCATTGGTGGCGTCTCTATGTAGGGTGACTGGGGAGGCATTGGTGGCGTCTTTATGTAGGGTGACTGGGGAGGCATTGGTGGTGTCTATATGTCGATGATTGGAGGAGGCATTGGTGGCGTCTTTATGTAGGATGATTGGAGGCCTTTGGTGGCGTCTTTATGTAGGGTGACTGGGGAGGCATTGGTGGCGTCTTTATGTAGGGTGACGGGGGAGGCATTGGTGGCGTCTTTATGTAGGGTGACTGGGGAGGCATTGGTGGCGTCTTTATGTAGGGTGACTGGGGAGGCATTGGTGGTGTCTATATGTCGATGATTGGAGGAGGCATTGGTGGCGTCTTTATGTAGGATGATTGGAGGCCTTTGGTGGCGTCTTTATGTAGGGTGACTGGGGAAGGCATCTATGAGAGGGGGATATCTCAGCTCCGTGACAAATAGTGTTCTGAGAAAAGAGGAACGAGTTATTTAAGAGAACAAAAGGAGCATGAGTGTATTCGGAGGGCATTTCCAGACCCCCACCACTAGAAGATCCAGGGATGGGGAGAACAGGAGGCTAGAGAGATGGCAGACCCTTGACCATGAAGATGCTCAGTGTCTGGAATATTGGGTCAGGAAAAGCTGGAGACACTGTGGGGACCTCTAGTGGGCCCTAGCCAACTTACACGCATCCAGTTCCTTCTGCAGAGCATCCCAGACAGTTCTTGGCTCTCCAAGCTCTTCTCTGGCTTTCCCTTCTGCGTATCAAAGAGTAGAACAGACATTGTTTGAGTGAACTCTCTAGCTGCATTATTGTCTTTCAAAACTGCTATTTCACATTTTTCTTCAAGCAAACCTGGAGTTTCTCAGAGTCCCAGGATCTTCCTGTTGGGTTCAAGTGGTATCAAGGCCAGGCTCATAGACATAAAACTACAGTGGCACTTTCATGCAGAAGGGCAGCCCTGCACTTATATTGTGCATATTTTGTGGCCTGCTATTACTATTCTGTAATTTTGAGGATATTTTTGACCAAGGGCTCCTGTATTTTCACTTTGCATTGGAGCTAAAGCAAAGCACACAAGTGATCCTAAATAGCAGCCAAGGTCTCTGAACTCACCTTGCTGAACCTCATTAACTCGGTTAATCAGGACCTCAATCCGTGGCACTAGAGTTCCCACTGCAGAGAGGAAGAGAGGTTGAAATGGCAACACAACAGTCTGTACCTCTGCAGCTATCAATCCACACAAATCCCTGAGCATCTCCTGTGTACAGGGGCTACATCATGGGCTCACACTAGGGACTAATGAGTCAAGCGGCAGTAACTTCATTCAAGAGAAGTAAAGTGGGGCAAAGTTTCGAGAGTGAAGGAGTAGGAACTGATTCTTGGGTATGGAAAAGTGTCTTGTAGGTCCCCCATCAAGTGAGTACTGCAGGCTCTGCAGCTCTCTGGGTGAAAGTGGGGGACAGTCAGTACAGAGGCCGGCCCTGGTGTGGGATCTAAGGGTACTGTGCAAGCCAAGTGGGGTGGCCAGCAAGAGGCTTGGGACAGGATTTGGGGAAAATATCTTTTCTTCTGTTTGCTTATATTTTTGTAATTTTGAATCACCACTATTTCTGGCTAAAAGAATTAAAATGTAAAAGAAAGTGAGAGTTGAGGGAATAGGTTCCTGAGTTTCTGACTTGTGGGGGCTGGAATGGAATCTACACCTGCCTAACCCAAAACTTCAGCAAGCCGCAAACACAGAGGAAACACAAGACCCTCTGCAAACACAGAGGAAACACAAGACCTTCCCCAAACACAGAGGAAACACAAGACCTTCCGCAAACACAGAGGAAACACAAGACCCTTCTGCAACTTTTTCACCATTTTGGCCAAGTCTTCAATTTTCTGTGTGTGTCTTGCCCTGTGAAGCAAAACCAAGCATTTCAAAACCCAATAGGGTGAAATGCCAGGGGAAGGATTCAACATCCCAGCTGGATCTGGGATGAGTTGAAGGCATTATTCTAGTTAGAGTAGCGCCTTTAATCTTTAATGTGTAAGAGATGAGTTTGGACCCTCCCTGGCCAGCCTTTCCCTATGTTTTGCAATGACACCACAGATATGCCCTTCATAAAACTCAAAGCAATGGTAGGGTTTGTGGTCAAACTGGAATCAGCATTCACAAAGTTATAACGTATTCAAACAAGTTGCTTTCCTTTAAGCCTTCAACGCTAGCTGTAGGACACTAAGGCAGGAGGATGGAGAGGAGCAGGAAGAGCCAATGTGGTGAGACTCAGTCTCAAAAATACTAATCATTTGAGATGTAGCTCAGCAAAGCACAGCCCTTGCCTAGCATGTTCAAGGCCCTAGGTTCCATCAACTAGCATGGAAAGAAAAAAGAGGGTATTAAAAAAATTGAAAATGAGTTGAAAGTCACTGTACTGGCAGGTGACATTATCAGTGAGGAAGCTCTACAAAGTTTACAAAAGTTCTAAAAAAACACAAGGGGCTGGGAAGGTGGCTCAGTGGTAGAATGCTTGCCTTGCAAGCACGAGGCCCTGGGTTCAATTCCTCAGCACCACATAAGCAGAAAATCCAGAAGTGGCGCTGTGGCTCAAGTGGCTCACTCGCCTTGAGTTGAAGAGCTGAGGGACAGCACCCAGGCTCAGGGTTCAGGGCCCACAATTGACAAAATAAAAAAATAAATAAATAATAAAAAACATAAGAACTAGCAACAATATGTACTCAACTGTAGTTAATACAAATAGCTTTCCTATGTATAACCAATGCTAACTATCAAGCCTCTAAGGTATTTCATAGTAATATTCTCTAGTCACTACATGCACCTATTTTAACTCACTAATGAATTAATAGATGTAGGAAATTACTTACAATATTAACATTATGATAATGTAAAGACATTTTGAGCCACCTGATATAAGAAGACATTATCTAAAAAAAAAAAAAAAGACATTATCTCTGGGTGCCAGTAGCTCACACCTGTAATCCTAGCTACTCAGGAGATGGAGATCTGAGGATCGTGGTTCAAAGCCAGCCTATGCAAGAAAGTCAATGAGACTCTTATCTCCAATTAACCAACCAAAGTCAGAGGTGGAGTGCAGCTCAAGTGGTGGAGTGCTGGCTTCAGCACAAAAGCTCAAAGTCCAGGCAAAGTTCAAGCCCCAGGGCGGGCGCGCGCACGCGTACACGCGCACGCACGCACACACACACACACACACACACACACACACACACTATCAGCTATTAAAAACCTGCTGAAAATGATACTGATGTTTATTAAAGCTTATGATCTGAATTCTAAATTCAGGGGATATTCACGGATAAAACAACATAGTGAGGGGCTGGGAAGGTGGCTCAGTGGTAGAGCGCTTGCCTTGCATGCATGAGGCCCTAGGTTCGATTCCTCAGCACCACATAAGCAAAACGAAAAAAGCCAGAAGTGGCGCTGTGGCTCAAGTGAGCTGAGGGACAGCGCCCAGGCCCAGAGTTCAGGCCCCACGACCGGACCCAAAAAAAAAACAACCAAAACCATAGTGAATGGCACATGAGGGTGTATTTACCAACATCAAAACAGAGATATCACATAAAGACAACTGTTTAACAAATAAATTTGAAGGGGAAAGGGAGGAAGAAAAGAAGGGACCCAAAGGAATAAGGTGCCTTAGAAATATAAGCAATCTCTGCAATTGTGTGGTAATGGAGAGAAAAAAAGTATAACTTCCCATCACAACAAAATTTGGAAACTGGCTAGATATTTGATGAAATAAAGGAATTACTGCTGCTACTACATGAAAGTGGCAATGGTATCACTTTTCTGAAGAGAACTTACCTTTAGAGACATATATGGAAATATTTATGGATAATTATGATGTCTGAACTGCTTTATAATGAAATAGGAGAGTAAATGGTAAAGAATAAAAAGATTTGTCAGTGGTCAAGAACTATGAAAACTGGACCACTATAGCTTGTTTTCTATTTTGCATATGCTTAAATATTTGGAAGGCCTTTGTCAATGTTGAGAAGGAAAATCATCTTCCTACAAAACAGAGAACAGAGGTGCGTGCAAACTGAGGGACCTGCGTCGCTCCTGCTCCTGTCCTCTTTCTCCTTGCATGGCAGAAGCTGGGCCCTTTCCTCGGGGTTGGGTGACAGTGGAAGGGGGGTCTTTTGCCCTGCAGGGCTCTGGTCTTGGGTGCTTCTCTGGGGGAGGGGGCGATCTCCTTCCCTGCTGGACTCTGACCCTTGGTGACTCTCCAGAGTCGTCCCTCCTGAAGGACTCATTGTCCCGGACACCTCCCTCCTGGAGGTCTCCTTCCCCGGAACACCCCCCCCCCACGGCCTCCTTCCCCGGGACCCCCCCCCACGGTCTCCTTCCCCGGGACCCCCCCCCACGGCCTCCTTCCCCGGGACCCCCCCCCACAGCCTCCTTCCCCGGGACACCCCCCCCCACGGCCTCCTTCCCCGGGACACCCCCCCACAGCCTCCTTCCCCGGGACCCCCCCCACAGCCTCCTTCCCCGGGACACCCCCCCCCACGGCCTCCTTCCCCGGGACACCCCCCCCCACGGCCTCCTTCCCCGGGACCCTCCCCCCCCCGTCTCCTTCCCCGGGACACCCCCCCCCCACGGCCTCCTTCCCCGGGACCCCCCCCCCACGGCCTCCTTCCCCGGGACCCCCCCCCCACGGCCTCCTTCCCCGGGACCCTCCCCCCCCCACGGCCTCCTTCCCCGGGACCCTCCCCCCCCACGGCCTCCTTCCCCGGGACCCCCCCCCCACGGCCTCCTTCCCCGGGACCCTCCCCCCATGGCCTCCTTCCCCGGGACCCCCCCCCACAGCCTCCTTCCCCGGGACCCTCCCCCCCCACGGCCTCCTTCCCCGGGACCCTCCCCCCCCCCACGGCCTCCTTCCCCGGGACGAGCTGTCAGGACGCCCCCCCACGGTCTCCTTCCCCGGGACCCCCCCCCACGGTCTCCTTCCCCGGGACCCCCCCCACAGCCTCCTTCCCCGGGACCCTCCCCCCCCACGGCCTCCTTCCCCGGGACGAGCTGTCAGGACGCCCCCCCACGGTCTCCTTCCCCGGGACCCCCCCCCCACGGTCTCCTTCCCCGGGACCCCCCCCACAGCCTCCTTCCCCGGGACCCTCCCCCCCACGGCCTCCTTCCCCGGGACCCTCCCCCCCCCCCACGGCCTCCTTCCCCGGGACCCTCCCCCCCACGGCTTCCTTCCCCGGGACCCTCCCCCCCACGGCCTCCTTCCCTGGGACCCCCCCCACACGGCCTCCTTCCCCGGGACCCTCCCCCCCCCCACGGCCTCCTTCCCCGGGACACCCCCCCCCACGGCCTCCTTCCCCGGGACCCCCCCCACGGCCTCCTTCCCCGGGACCCCCCCCCACGGCCTCCTTCCCCGGGACCCTCCCCCCCCCACGGCCTCCTTCCCCGGGACCCCCCCCACAGCCTCCTTCCCCGGGACCCCCCCCCACAGCCTCCTTCCCCGGGACCCTCCCCCCACGGCCTCCTTCCCCGGGACCCTCCCCCCCCCACGGCCTCCTTCCCCGGGACCCCCCCCACGGCCTCCTTCCCCGGGACCCTCCCCCCACAGCCTCCTTCCCCGGGACCCTCCCCCCCCCACGGCCTCCTTCCCCGGGACCCCCCCCACGGCCTCCTTCCCCGGGACCCTCCCCCCCCCCCCACGGCCTCCTTCCCCGGGACGCGCTGTCAGGACGCCCCCCACGGCCTCCTTCCCCGGGACCCCCCCCCCCCACGGCCTCCTTCCCCGGGACCCTCCCCCCCACGGCCTCCTTCCCCGGGACCCCCCCCCACGGCCTCCTTCCCCGGGACCCCCTCCACGGCCTCCTTCCCCGGGACACCCCCCCCACGGCCTCCTTCCCCGGGACACCCCCCCCCATAGCCTCCTTCCCCGGGACGCGCTGTCTGGACACCCCCGGTCTCCTTCCGGGAGCGCACTGCCTCTGGTCTAGGGGACAAACGCAGAGCAACCCCGCACACGCCGCCAGGCCCCGCCGCCATGCGAGCCCCGTGCGCCCCGCGCCTCGGCGTGGCGGAGCCTCTGGGCCCCGGCAGCCCCATGCTCGTCCAGCCCGGGCCCAGCACGGCGGCTACCTCCGGGCCCCTCGGGCCCCTCGGGTGGGTCCGCAGCTCCTGTGAGCTCCCCGCTTGCCGGACTGGGCCTGGCCGCCATGTCCCTCCGCGCGCGCGCGCACCGCGCTCGGCGGCGGCGGTTGGCGCCGGCGGCGGCGGTTGGCGCCGGCGGCGGCGGTTGGCGCCGAGCTGCTGCGCAGGCGCGAGGCCGCGCCGGGCGCCGTGGTCCGCGCTGCCGCGAGGCCTCGAAGCCTCGGCTGGGCCGCGGTGCGTGCGTCCGTGGGGTTTGCAGTTTCACAGCCTTAGGCTTGTTACGGCTAGGTCAGGGGTGTAGAGTCCGGAAAAGAGAAAAAGACCTGGAGTACTGGACAGAGTCATGGTCTCAGCAGCCTCGGGTCCACGCCGCAGAAGCGTTAGCCAGCAGTCAGCCCTTGAGCTCCGCCATGTCGAGGACAGGAGAAGTTCCCCCGGTGACACCCGTGGGGGCTGCTGGCAGACCCCGAAGCCAGACCTGCGGCTCTAAGAACTCAGCTCGACGCCCCGGCCCTGGGTACTAACCACTAGCGGCCCAGCCCTCGGCAGCGGCTGTTCTCCCCAGTTTCCAGCACCGAGGACTGCGGACGCAGCGAGCCGGAAGACGGCTCTTGTGTTGTTACAGCTCTGGTGCAGGCCTTGGTGCTAGGCCCACAGGCAAGCTTCCAGATCTTAGGTCTAGAGTGTTGGAGGCTTAGTCCTTTAGCCTTGGCAACTCTGTGATGAAGGCCTA